ACTACTTTTCCATTTTTAATGTTTTTTATTTACTTGTATATTAATGTTGTGGGATTGGTAGATAAACCTATTAAAGTCAAAATAATAAATAATGATAGATAATACATGTACATGTATCAATAAATGGATTCTTTTGCGGATTTGCTGCATAGTTTTTATAATTTTATATTTACAAATGTATACTGCACAAATTTGGAGAGCATTGTCATACTTGAGATCTGCTTGTATATACAATGTAGTTGCTGTTGTTTACCTAATTAGTAACTTTTCTCTCTCTCTTTTATATGCAGAAGTTTGAGATTGAATTATTTGTGTCTTCACTATCTTCTTCTGAAGCATCAACAAATAATGATGCTATTAGTAAAGTGCAAAGTTTGATTCATTCTATGAAGGAGAAATTGACATCAAAAGTAATCATTATACTTTATAAGTTATTACTATTATTATTGTTGTTGTTGTTGTTGTTATTATTATTGTTATTATTAGGTGCTTGCTAGTAGATCTGTAGATCATGAATATTTACTACTTCTATTGCTGGATTTGCCAGTTGATGTTTCAGTAAAAAAACTAAAAGAAAGCAAAGGACAGACACTATCAAGCTACACTCGAGTAAAAGTATGAAGAAATCCATTTACACATACATTGTACATATACTGTATAGTGAGTAATTTTCGTGGTGCTTTATTTTAGTGGTTTTGGGTCTTGATTACCACGAAATTTTCACCCACCAATTCATTGAAGTGCCATCCCTTTACGGGCTATGTAAATTTTCAACCATGAAAATTAAAACCATGAATTGCCCCACAGGAGCAAACCACGAATTTTTAGACCCATGAAACTAACCGGCTATACAGTACATGTATCATGTACACTTTTTGACCAAATTATGATTAAAATATTGTTTTATTATTATTATTTTAGAAATTTTGTAAAATGTCTGAAGACTATGGGACATTAATTGGGATGAATAACTTAGTAGCAGCCTCAAGGTATTACTGTATGCTGGCTGACTGGGGAAAGAAACTGGGACAACATGAGGTAAGTATTACCAGATTTGGTAATATTGTTTTTATTGTTTTAATTTTAATGACTTAAAATTGGCCTATTTTTCAGTTGCCCATTTCTTCTAAATTTGTAGTACCGTAGGGTGCCTTTTTTTAGGGCTGTAATTTTTTGTGATGTCGCCTAAAAATCTATTTTGCGGATTTAATTTTTGCGAATTTGTGCCGTCTGCCATCTTTTACTGTAATAGTTTGATTTTTGTAGAAGTAATTTCGCGAATCTTCAAAAAGTTATGAAATCCATGAAATTTACAGCCTTGGAAAATACATGTAGGTGATTACGGCAGTAATCAGCTCAAACTTTCTACTTAGCGTAAGGATATTAATAGTTATGCATTAAAATGTAAGGAATCAATTTTTTGAACTTTTGAAAAAAATAACTCTTGATTTTTTACATATTGATTCTCTGTTCTATGCTAGTTTTATTTATAATTATTGAGTTAATATCATTATTTATGATTATCATATTATTTAGATATCATTTACTCGAGCATTTCGGGGGGACCACAAAGAAAAGATGGACGTTTTTCAAAAGATGATGGAAAAGGACTCGATCACTTTAGAAATGATTATACAGTATTGCACGTGAGCTTTATTTCCATACAAATATTACATTTTAATTTCTTGTTATTTTAAAGTGATTTTAAGATCAACGTCCAGTCAAACCTTCATGCTTATGTTGAAAGGATCGTCACCTGTTGGCATGACAACAGTTGCTATGGAGAGCGGCTAAAGGAGGTGATGTGTAAAGTTATCAATACTGAGAGAATTTGTAAAGAAATACACAAACTATTAGTAGATGAGGTAATAATATTGTTCTTTTGTCTTCATTGTCATCTCTCTCTCCTTCCCCCCCTCTCTCTCTCTAGATATCATGGTATGATTATAAAAGGATTGAGGTTATATTGGACCTCCTTTCCCTGTATGAGTACAATATCCAGGACTTTTCCCTCAATCTGGGCCTGGAATTATTGACATGTCTTGGAGCCTACACTAGAACCGGTCCCTTACTGAGTATTGAAGAGGAATGGTGGAAAGTGCACAACGGACATGGGGTAATAAATAATAATGATAATAACACATGATCATACTAGTTTACTTGTGTGATAATGGTTTAAAGTAGAGCAGGCTATTGTAATATTGTACTCAGCGTTTTCTAAAGGATTTTGTCAAGCATGTAGTGTTCATGCAGCTTTTTGTTAGTAGATTGTAAGACCCTGTACTATAGTACTACAGAGTATTATGACAAATGACTAATAGAGAATTCTTCTTTCTTATAATTTTTATGATTTATATTCATGTTCTTATGTGTAGAAAGTTTTAACTGATTCCGATCACATTTAGATTTTTATGAATTGTTAAAGTTGCTCAAAAATCAGGCCAACGTCCCTGTACAGGGTCATCAACCAAATTTCTTCAAAAATGACTAGGAGAGAATTTTCCATTTTTATAATTTTTTATGATGCATATACATGCTCTTATGTTGTTTAGAAAGTTTGAGCTGATTCCGATCAAGTTTGGATTTTTTACGAATTTTTAAAGTTGCTCAAAAATCAGGCCAAAGTCCCTGTACTATAGTACAGGGTCATTGGCCAAATTTCGCCAAAAATGACTAGGAGAGAATTCTCCATTTTTATTACATTTTTTGATACACATACATGTTCTTATGTTGCATAGAAAGTTTGAGCTGATTCCAATCACATTTGGATTTGTTATGAATTTTTAAAGTTGCTCAAAAATTAGGCCAACGTCCCTGTACTCTAGTACAGGGTCATCAACCAAATTTCTTCAAAAATGACTAGGAGAGAATTCTTAATTTTTATAATTTTTTTGATGCATATACATATTCTTATGTTGCATAAAAAGTTTGAGCTGATTCTGATCACTTTTGGATTTTTAATGAATTTTTGAAGTTCTTCAAAAATTAAAGACAATGGACTATAACCCATGGTATTTTGTTAAAAATAGCTAGGAAAAACTCTCTTTATTTTAGAGTTTCTGATGCCATACATGTACAGTTACATTTTTTATGCTGTATAAAAACTTTGAGTTGATTCCGATATTAATTAGATTTTTAAAGCTCAAAAATTTGATCATTTTATTTATTTATTTATTTTTTAATACATTATTTTAGGATCCTGAAAATTTCCCAAATGAATGGAGGAAGAGGCTCCCATTTCATTTGATATTTTTAAAAAGAGACCCCTCTCTCATCAGCACCTTATTTGGTAAAATTGTGTTATTATTTTTATTATTATTTTAATTTTTGTTTTTAGCTGCTGAAGTATCTGATAAAGACTCACTGGAAAAGATATTACCAATTTGTAATTTATTGCAAGTAAGAATAATTAACTACTTCATACTCTATACATGTACATGTACATGTAACTGGAAATATTGGCTTAATTATTGATTAACGAATTCGAGAAAGTATCAGCAATTTTGCAAATAATGTGTCATTACATAAAACAGAAATACAGAATGGCTGACTTAAACCCCATTCCTATTTTTATGGTATACATTTATTTTTATATTATTTTTATTTTATTATATTTAGATCAATGTTGATGATGTATTGGAATGCTCTGTATTGAGGCTGGCCAGTGCTTCTCATGCTCACATTAAATTTAATGATATTTTATTGATAATGAATGAAATGAGGTCACACTGTAGGACACTGGATACAGTTAAAGCATTATCCTCTCACTTAAAAGGTAAAAAGAAGGCATTTATTAAAAATAATGATAATACTGTCAAGAGTAAACATGTATAGCTGGAAACTTTCGAGGCCAATAACTTTTGCAGTTTTGTCAGGTTTTTGAAATTAAAATTTGTGAAAATCTAAATAATACGTTGCAAGATGATGGAATGCTTTTGATTTGTAAAATTTAATCTATGAAAATGATTTTTGGGCAGATTTGTGAAAGTTTAATCCCTCAAAAATTTTTGGCTATATGGTATATTAATTTTATAATAAAATAGATGTATGTATTGTAGCTGCCTTAATGCATGGGTAAACCCAGTCTTGATATTATTTGTATTTTTTATTTTTAGATGAAGACGTCATTAGTTTGCTAAGGTTTGCTGTTGAGATTGCTAATAAATGGAAACTGACATCTAGCTTACAGGTAATGTATGTGCTTGCAACATCACATGAAATGTACATGTTTTCTAACTTGCATATGCTTTCAAATGCTTGCGTTTTATGACATTCATTCATGTACATGTTTTTTAGTGAGAGTCATATTTCATTTCCTTTTCTCTAGGACACAAAGAAGGCTATCCAGTATGTTGATGAGATGACTAGTTTATTGCACACTAAAGAGACTGAGCTGCTAATAGTTCAACATAAGCCGTTAGAGGAAGAGAAGGATGAGCTTGTATCATTGTGTGATCAACCAAACCAACTGATCATTGAACTCTATACTAGACTCCCTCATCCAGCAAAGAGAAGTGAGCTTTTTAAACATTATTTTTTGTAAAAATAGCAGAATTAAATTCTTTTTTGTGAATTTCTTGAGCCAGATGACATCTTTGGGCCAATAGCAAAACCATTAGCCAATTTCTGACTAACTTTACTTATTAAAAGCAACCCTGTACCAGACAGGGTTTCTCACAGGGTTTTAGTATAGGTGCTAATGCAGCTTCTTGTGATTTTAAAGTTAATTGCTAAAAATTAGGCCAAAGTCCTTGTCAAGGGTATTTTCTGTAATTTCTACTGAAATTATAAGGAGAGAATTTTCCATTTTTATAGATTTTCTAATACACTTGGTCATGTTCTTATGTTATGTAGCAAGGTTAAGCTGATTTCAATCAAAATTGGATTTTTTCTAATTTTTATTGTTACTCAAATATCGGGCCAAAGTCCCTGTACTATAACACAGGGTCTTTGCTCAAATTTTGCCAAAAATAACTAGGAGAGAATTCTTCATTTTTGTACACCTACATGTTCTTACGTAACGAAGATGTGATTTTTAACGACCTGGGGGCGTAGCCCCCAGGTCGTTCCTATAATTGATTTCACCCACGTGCGATGTTTGTATTATATTTGTATGTCCACACTTACATTTCTTCTATACATGTTGTATTGGAGAAATAACAAGCCTTAGCAACCACCCGCCCACGCTCCTTTACGTGAGTGGGTGTGGTCACGGCAAACAAAATGGCGGCTTAAACACAGGACAAAGTTAAGAGCTTTCTAACAGCAAGACAACATAGAGATACTGTCTAAAGACTTCTCTAGAAGCATTAGAAGGTAGAGAGAGCCTCTATAAGTCTTAATGAAATCCCGTTATTCTTGCAAGGTGGTGAAATCAATTATAGGAATATTTTATACACTGTTACGCTTGTTTATCATTTTTCAGGAGTATGGCCAGTTCATGATATTGTGAGTAGGATTGGTGATATATGGAGTATTAATGTTTCTGAAATAAGAAGACAACTTGCTATTGTAAGAAATCAGTTCTCCTTTACCCTTCCTTGTTAATCTTTCTCTCCTCTCTCTTTCTCTGATAGGAATGGTTGCCAGTATGTGGAACTACTAACAGAGATATGGACGCAACACTAGTAAGGCTTTGTAATGCAATATGTACATTGTAATTACAGAGTGCATGACAGTACATCATTCACAATAAGTAAAACCATGTACATGTAAATGTACTCTTGGCATAACAATGATTGATTGTTTGAAAATTGGCTGCTTTGCAGCTATAATACGTACCCTTTGTTTTAATTTAATGACAACTATATTACAGCACACCATGTACATGTACTATGCATCAGAAAATAGAATTAAAATGGTCTATTTTATGTCATTTGCCTATTTCCTAATAGTTATCAATGATGGAAGACCCAACTGCAGCAGCACAGTTTGGTAGAGGCACTGATAGTGAGGAGGAGGAAAGTGAAGAAGAGTCAAGCATTAGAAAATTGATATATTTAATGCAAATTGAATTAAAAGCTAACGTACAATATTTACTGAGATGGGTTCAGGTAATTACTACATGTATTAACTAATATAGCCCCCATATGCATGTACATTAACTTAATTTCAGAGATTAAAATATGTGAGGTTATACATATACCTGGTAGCATAAAAGTGATCACCAGTTGTAATTCTTACAAAAACACTGTTATTTAAAAATACTGGGTCAACTCAAATTTTTTAACCATGTACAGAAAATGTTATTATTATTATTATTATTATTATTATTATTATTATTATTATTATTATTATTATTATTATTGTTAGAACCCGGTTATTGCTGGTGGCTCTGCGTCTCGTATCAAAGGGTTTCAAGTGTTATTCTCAATTGCTTCCATTGAACTGATTGAAGAAATCAGCCAATCATCGATCAGTGATATCAAGTAATCGAGATGAGAGAGGGAATGAAAGGTGAATGAGGAAAAGGAGAGACAAAAACTGGAGAGGGCAAGCATGGTTTCTCACAGGTTTTTAGCACAGTGCTCATGCAGCTTCTTGTCAGTGGACTGTCAAGTTGCTCAAAAATTAGGCCAAAGACTATATATAGTACAGGGTAATTCGACAAAAACCACAAGGCGAGAATCAACCATTTTCTTCTAATACATATACATGTACATGTACATGTTCTTATGCTGTGTATTGAGCCTATTCCGATCAAGTTTTGATTTTTTAAAGTTGCTCACAAATTGGGCCAATGACCAAAGGCTATAGCCTTTGGTGTTGGCCAAATTTTGCCAAAAATGACTAGGAGAGAATTTTCCATTTTTATATTTTTTCCTGATACACACACATGTTCTTATGTCATGTAGAAAATTTGAGCTAATTCTGATGAAGTTTGGATTTTTTATGAATTTTTAAAGTTGCTCAAAAATTGGGCCAACGACCAAAGGCTATAGCCTTGTGGTCTCAGCCAAATTTGTCAAAAATGGCTAGGAGAGAATTTTTCATTTTTATAATTTTTTCTAATACATATACTTGTCCTTATGCTGTGTATCAATTTTGAGCTGATTCCGATCAAATTTGGATTTTTTATAAATTTTTGAACTTGCTCCAAATGCCATGTACTTGTACTGTAGTATATAATGCTTGTCAGCTCTCTTTAATCATGCTGTTTAGCTCACTTACCTCAACAAAATATTTTGTAGCATGCTTTGGGGGAAACCATGTGAACAAGTGAAATAGTGTCGTGCTTTTAAGTTTTAAGAGATTAAAATAGAAATATTTTTGTTATACTTTTAGGGAGTTTATTCAACTGACGGTATTTGTATGTGAGCTGGAATGTCTCCACATTAATATGACACTTGATGGCTTCACAGCATTAAATAAAGAAGGACTGATTAGGACATTATGGCGAAATCATAAAGAGGAACCAAGAGTAAGGAATTGGAATTACATGTAGCTCAAACTTTACGTAACATAAGGACACGTTAAGCTCAGTTTATAGTCAATGTATATGTACATGTAACAGTCAAAGCTGTAATCTGACCTTTTGACACATGCATGTACATGTATAGCGCTTTGAAGTTTACATTAATTTGCAATGACCAGATTTTAATTTTGCATTGGGTTTTGTGGTGAGGTAAACGAGGCTTAATACCATTGAAAAAAAAAGAAGCATGAGCATAATGTTTAATGAACAGTGTAATTATTTATTTTATTGATTTATTGAAGGCTCTAAGATTGATCAGTGAGCTGTGTCTCCATTATAAGATACAAGATACATCATTGTGGTCTAAATTACTCGAACGATTCCTGGAACTGCACATGGTAACACCTAATTATATACTGGACATCATTTACAAGACTGATGTTTATTGTACATTAGATACCATACTTGAGGCATTTGTTAAGAATAATGATTGACCTACCATTGATCTGGCAAGTAAGTTTGAATCACTGACTGTACATGTATATGGCTATATGCATGGTCTATTGATCCTATTTTGATAATAATTTCTCTTCATATTGTATCTTGCATGCGTTAGGTTAAGAACATTGCTTCAGTTTGGTACAAAACTGTGATATTTCCACTATTGGAAGGTATGTACTACATGTACTTGTATTAATGGTCTCTTATTTATTTGTTATGGGTATAGTTTCTGTACCACCAACTGAATTTCAAGTGAAGGAGTGTATAAAGTCATTGGAACTATTGCAATTGTAAGTATATAGCCATGTAGAGTAACAATAATGTGTCTTCCCTCTCTTGTAGATGTCCTTTCATTCATGATCTTGATATAGTGAGTATTGCTAATACTTATCAGTCAATTGGAATGTGTAATGAGTCACTGATTGTTGCCAGACTCTTGTCTGACGGAGAAAATAGAAACTTGATTAAAGTACACATTAATATTTATAATAATTATTATTTTTGTTATTTTTCTTATTTTAGGATAATCAAGAATGATCACTTTTTGCGATTAATATGCTGTTAGTTAGTACGTACTTTAATAGTGTTGTCGTTTTAACTTGATTTATCATTTATACTCATTATATACATTAAACATACATATTATCTCACTCATTACACAAGTCATCTGAACCATGCTGACTCAAACCAATTCAAGCTGGTCACTGGTTTTATATGGTTTGGTTTACTTCAAATATGAAATTTAGACCATTAGAAACAAAATGTTATTCAATTTCACCTGCAAAAAAATATAATGTACGCAATCTTTCAGTACAATAGTGCATTAAACAGTATAGTTATCAACATTAATATTAATATTAAAATCAAATCCCAGTTCATTTCTATTAGCTTCAATCCAATCCTCAGCTAGAGCTTTTGCTGCATCAACCTGCCTCTTACAGCAATGAGCTTAAAAACTTTTGACAGTGCTCCTCCACTTGAGGTTAAACTTTAGACTAGACTTAAACTCTATAATACACTAGTTGATTGAAGGAGTCTCTCTGACTGCATTATGAATGAGACAAACCACATATTTTTAAAGACCTGAATGAAACAGCATCCTTACAGGTAGGGAAGTAAGATCATCATAATGGGACACCAGAACATCATTGAGAACTTTCTTAACTCCTTTGACATCAACATTGGCCATTATACCTAATAAAGGTCAATATAACCCAATACACACAAACCATGCATGCACACACAGACACACTGTTACTTACTAGTTTCTCAATTGGATGAGACTGCAGTAACCTCAGTAGTTGTATGAGAAAGAGGTACTAGGTAATGAATAGCAATTATGTTTTTGATGAAACTTTTCTTTTTATATAGCTAGCATAGTGATAAAGGAGACTTGGTTTCTGAGGTTGCACTACAAGGGGATGAGTCTACCAGCCATAATTACGGAGAGAGACTGACAGAGCAACTGATGAAAGGTACGTAAAATTGATTTTGCTAGTGAGAGGCTAATAAACTTGTTTCCAAATGCAAACACTTAAAAAACTCTTGATATCAGGGATAATCCGAGGGATAATCTAATGCTTCCAATCGAAACAATGCGCCCATTGACACTACAGCAAATTCAGTCTTATGATCATGTTTGTGATATTACTGATCAAATCAACATGCCTACTGATTAGCAAAAAAGTTAGTAACAATGAAGTCATTTGTCAAATCAGAACTAGCATTCAAAATGGCATTCACAAAAAATTATAACAGGCAACAATTGGCTAAAATTGTACAATATATATTATTTTTATGACAAAAGCTACAGTTGCAGATCACCAACTTTAACATTGCATTAAAGTACCATGTTCCTGGTTTAATTATAATCATGACATGAATTTGGATGTGGTAAAATGCTATGTCAACAGTCATGTGAAGCCCAAGAACAAAAGATTTATTGAACTATAACAATGGCCAGCAAAGTGGTTGAAGTTTCTGGACATGCAATTGAGAATTTCAGTGCTGAAAAGGTGGTTTTTTCTGAAAAAAGCCCAGATCTGGTTTCTACATCAGAAAAAGTTGATACAAGTATTAGTCCTAAGGATTTCTATTGGGATCAAATTTTGTATTATTTGGTTTCAGCAATTTTGGGTCTTAGTTTTCTGAACATATCGGTTGAATTTTTCCGGGGATCCACTGTGTATTGCTATACACCCGAGTATGTTACTTCACGTGATCACATTATTTATTTTAACAATTACTGCTACGGTAGCTTACCGAGCAGTCAATATTACCTCATCTTTATATTAGTGTCAGCCCTTTTCATTATCGCACCTCATTATCTCTGGACATCGTACTTTGGGGCACACTTTGATTTCTTTTTTGACTTGGCAAAAAAACTTCACCGCCTTCGTGACACTAACACCGGAGAATACAGTCCAAATAACTTTGAACTTGTCAAAAAGTTAGAAGAAAAGTTTTCTTCTTCTAAGCGGATTTTTCTTTGTTACAAGCTAAAGTTAATAGCTCAATTTGTCATTGGCTGGATAATACTGATTACTAATGCTGTATTATTTAAAGATAAGGACTATAAACAATCGTTTTGCTGTCCAGCAGATATAAACGAACTAAATACAACAGATTGGCCTTTAGATGAACAAATTAAATGTATCTACAATAGCCTGACCCTTCTATTTTTTTTGCGTGGTACTCTTTTTGTTTTGGTGTCAGTTGCAATAATGGCAGTCATTGTTGGTTTAGTTTGGTGTCATGTTCGTCATACAACTGAACTTGGTGCCAAAGAAATTGCTAAATTTTGTCACGAATCTTGTCTTCCTCCTGAGGAACATTCCTTTCCCTTAGTCTCAAATATAGTTTACAACATCTTTTGTTGTAGAAAAGGGACTATGAATTTAATGGCAGAAATAAAGCAATTCTTATCTCCACAAATTAAAAATGATCTTCAATTTTTAATAACCAGGCTCTTTTATGCCGACACTGGTCATGGAGAAGTATTCAAGCATATTTATATT